GACAGAGAGGAGGGCCCTGGACGAGATGGACACGCATGGTGCTGCAGCCGCGGCTCAGACATGGGGACAGTGGTGGACACGGCGCAGGGCCGAGCAGTGTTTGCCTCTGTTGTGCACGGGGTCTCTGTGGGCGGGACGGAGTCTATGGGACCTGACGGCAACAGTTTTTGAGGGGAAGGCAGCCTCCCTTTCTGCAACTCTTTCAGGGGACGGTGAGGTATGGACAGGCTACTCCCACGCCGGACATCAAAGTGTGGACAGGTGTGTGCTCACAGCAGGGCCTGAGTCCCCATAGGGAGAGAGAGTGCCCTGCCTCGACAGGTGGGGACCCCCCACCTCACCTCCTAACTGGCGCCTTCCAGTAGCCCTGCCCCCTTACCTGGCAGCTCCCAATAGCCCCGCCCCCTTACCTGGTGTCTTGGGGTTCCCCCCTTGCTGGTTCTCCATGTTGAGGTCACCTTGCTCCTCTGGAAACGAGAAGACAGGGCGCACATATGAAAATACAATCTTGGGGCCCCCCTGCCACACCTGCCCCAGGTCAGTGCACCTGCCCCAGGTCAGTGTACCATCACCCAGGGTGCCCCCGGGTGAGTCAGAGCAGAACTGCACCCTGCCTGGCCCACAAGCCCCCCCCCCACTGACACCCCCAGGCAGACAAGAGAGTCAGGCCTTGATTGTGCGGCCTCTGGTAAGACGCACCCCACCAGGGCCCCTCGCAGCGCACGCGCAGGGGGCCACCTATCACACAGGTGATTCTTTTCAGCAGGTGCATTGGCCGGGAAGCAAAAGTGGGGCGCTGTGGGGTACCCCCCCTTCGCCATGGGGACAGAGGGGCTCCCCATGGTCGTTCAGAGGCTGGTTTCATGCCAGGCGCCTTTGCCGGGGTGGACGCACGGGCCCTCTCTCAGCTCTAGGACAGCTGCAGCCCCTTGGGGAGGGGCAGCGGCAGAGATGGACGGGCGTGGGGCCTGCAGCCGTGAGTTCAGCCATGTGGACGATGGTGAGGGCGGCGTTGTGTCCCCCTGTCCATGAGGCTGCGTTCCTCTGTGCGGGGTGGACGTCCGACTGATCTCAGTCAGGGGCATGCCAGTGTCTGGTCTTGCCCCAGTCAGGAGATCCCACGACCCCCTGCACTGGGTGGACCTGCCGCCCGAGACCCCCTGAGAGTTCATCAGCGTGGGGGACACCAACGCAGAGGGGACAGGCCTGTGTCCCTCACTCTTCCCAGAGGGGTCCGGGAAGCTGGTCTTCCATGGAGGGAAGCCTCCCCCTTGGGGAGTTGGAGGTAAAGTCCAAGCACAAGATCCTGCTCTAATATCGTCCCTGCAGACCCTCCGCCCACAGCTCTGCGGCCTTCCAGGGAGCACAGGGGGTCTGTCTCCTGCAGAAGCAGACACCATCCTTTCGTTCTCCCCCCTGGGGCCCCGGCCCCCTCCGAGCTCCCCCAATGCAGGTCTCAGATTCGTGAGCTCAGGA